TTGGTTCCGGTAAAGAAAGTGTTAACTTTTTCATTACATCAAACGAAAAATACAATAAAAGCTTCTGATATCTCACACTTTCGTCTTGATACAATATCCGGACATCTTTTAAAATATTGGATTAAATGACTTGAATTTTCTAAAACTGTCGAACTGTTTTGTTCACTGGACAACGATGAAAGATATTTCTGCAAACATCGAAAATCATTTGCGCGAATAAACTGCAATAATATGCATAATGAATGTTGCATAGAAATTGACTATACATGCATCACATAAACAATTAGAGATAGCGAAAATCGCAGTTTCTCACGACTTTCGACGAATAGTTATAAAGAACCTGGAGATTCGTATATTTTGCAATGCCCTTGTAACAACGTTTACCGATATCGATGAAATTTTATAGTTAAATAATAGCAAGTTGCCGAGACCTATGAATCGCATTAATTATATCTTCGTAACAGTCTCAAGGAAAGAATTTGTAAAAGCATAATTTTCCATCTTCTTTGTCAGTCGAACCAGTTGCGATATTCACAGACATTATTTTGAACCATTACAAAAGTGCAACGGGAATGTAGTCATAAGTCTACTTTAGGTTCTGTTACGGCAACAAGAGTGCACCGATGAAATCTGTCAAGTGAAGAAAATAATCTCATTTCGTTTGATGCAATTTTAACATAGTTATGACGTTCTAAAAGAAGTCCGATTAATAAACAACTACTGAACAACTTCACGAACATCTTCAACTAATAAAAAGTAGTACATCGGTATCGTTAAAATCTTGCAGCGGCATTTCCTACCGATTTGTGTTTTAGAAACGCATAAAATTCACGGGCCACGGGCGACGAGTTCTCCGTCCGAAGAGCAGACGAACGGTGGATTGCGGTTTACGGAACGATTCTCCAGAGTAAAAGCCCAAGTCGACACGCAGCATAAGACCTCTCGATGGAAAAGGACGCGGCAGGTGACGCGTGTAAACCTTCGAACTAGCTCGGAACGCGTCGTGTCGATCTATAGAGAGGACGTTCCCACAGGGAGTGCCACCTACGTTTCCCGAAGCCACGGCGTCGTTTCCATATCACGAAGCTCGTCTCCATCGGGCGAACGAGGAATTTCTATGGATCGAGGTACAATGTACACCGCGTCAGGTGCAACGATTCGTCGACGAAGCGACGGAGACAAGCGAATCGGCGAGCGGCTACGGTTCCAGAGAAAGGCGTTCGGTTTATTGCATCCTCCGACACGGGAAATCACGGGCCCGTTGATCCGCGAGGATCGTTGCTCGCGATTTAGGAAAATCTCGAGCGACATCCGAGATTCCTTACACTTTGCCAGTAATTAGAAGAGTCCACGCTACAGAATCTCCTTGCCAGAGAGTTTGGCATCATTCGGATTCTTTCGAATATACATTTGTCCGAGATTATTCGCCGAATGAAATCCTTTTAGCCGAATATTTTATTCGAATAAATCATTGTTCGTCATAAACTATACTATTTATTGTACTTATTCGAATTCTTTATTCGAATAATTCGAATGATTCTTATATAATAATTCGAATCATTCTTATATAATAATTCGAATCATTCTTATATAGTAATTCGAATAATTTTTATATAATAATTCGAATAATTCTTATATAATAATTCTTTATTCGAATGATTTTTTATTCGAATGATCCTTCATTCGTATAATTCTTTCTGCGAATGATTCTTTATTCGAATAATTCTTTATCATAGTAATTCGAAAAATTCTTTATCATAATAAGTCGTAAAGGAAATACGGAAGAAATAAATCGATTATCTATGAAAAAACGCTTTATATTCTATCGTTTTTATCGAAATCAATTATTTTCCGTATGAATTCCTGTACGACTAAATTCTTATTCAAATATAATCTTGTTCAAACGGATTTTCATTCGAATAAAATCTTATTCGAACTCTCGTACAACTTTAATAGTAAGTTTCTCTTGAAGGAAATATTTACGAGCATACTTCAACAGGCAAAATTTGCTTGCTTTACGGTCTTAAATTCGTGCCCAAAGTACGTCGGTTTAAAGCTTTACAGCATCATCGCGTCGGCGACATGTAATTGAAAGGTACAATTTTAACGAAAATTTAATGAAACTATTTGTCGCGATAAGCGGAAGAATATGGGATAGGATAGTAATTGTTCAAAGCATAAACCTGAAGAACGTAGTAGACGACAGAATAGTTCGCGTGCATAAAATACTCATAAAGGGAATAACAAGTGGCTAGAGCCAGGCTCTTGTGTAATTTATATAATTTAGCAGATGTACGCCTCTGGCTCCATCCGCTTTCGGTTGATGTATATTTAAATTCCACGGTGTGGGAACGATTAAGGCTAGAAAATTAATTGTTTGGGACGCGCGGGCATGCTTTGGCGAGTGCGCGCTGTTCCGGGAAGGAACCTATACAGACCGAACGGCACAATGACATTCCTGGATTATTAATGGGCCGGAAGCTCGTCCGTGCCTTTTACGAGCAGCGATTAGTTGCATATTTGATGGAACACAGATCGAAGGGGATGGACGCATTATCGTCACCCTTTTTCGCGGCAACGCGCGGCGAGCGCGGGATAGGATAGCATCGCCAATCAATATTTGAATGTCCATAGTGTTCGCCAAGGAACGAACAGCTCGCGTCGTAGCACGCGCGTGAATATTTCACCGTGCCTCCGAAAACATTTCCGAGGGCATTTCCCGTTACAGAATAAATTGGCATTTTCGGTAAATAACTAATTATTCGCCGGGGCGGTGAACGCGAAATTTTCGTGCCAATGACGAAATGGGGCTTTCAGCGGGAACATTCTCGCGCGAATCACTCCCCGCAAATTAAAGGCTCGGCATTTAAAAAACTGATCGAAAATCGGGAAGCTGCGGGCGCCTCTGACGAATGCCTCTCGCAGAAAGCAATCGTCTCGCTGCGCTCGGTTTAACTGTTTCAGTCGCGGATGCTAATTTAGGGCGAGCTCAACGGAGAACTTCGAAGAATATTTTAGACGAAACCGAACTGCTACCTTGAACTGCGGAACTGTCTAAAATATTGTCGAACGGGAATAGTACTTAATGGAACGGCAGCGTCGGTTAGATCCCACTGGTTACATACCGAGTTGATGGCTGTCATACTGCTAATTCGACCTGGATCTGTGTCCACTAGCCCGTTGTCACTCTACAACACAAAATATGAAAAAAATTGTCAGTTATTGGCAGACAAAGGAAAGCTGTTCGCTGGCTACAGGCGGCTTCGCCGACGAACAAAGCTGGCCGTGTTTCGAATTGTGCGACGAAACTTGAAACAAGGTTTTTACGCTAATATATTTCAAAGATTACCGATACGCTAAAATTGTGCCGGTAAAATTGAGGATAAATAAAACTCCCCAATATATTGGTTTAATAAATACTAGGTTAATGGAAGAGTAATTTCGATCTTTCCGTAAACTGTCTGTCTGAAAGACCGAAATTACTTTCGCAACGACCCAATAATTTGCTCGAAAATAACTTGTTTGATTGTTCGGAAAGTTCGTCTCATCGAATTCACATAAAAAAAAAATTTGAAACGAACTTTGCGAACACCGTTATTCAAAATTAATATGTTCATGATTCCGAGCTTAACCGTTTCAGAAATTTGTGGTCTTTATATAAATTGTATCAACTTCTCAGATTCAATGTATATTCTGCGATAAATCGGATCGCACGATTCTCGGCCGACAATGTGCGCCGTTTGGGCGAACATGCGCCGATTCCAAGTAGCGAAATTTTAAATTGCACCGTCACCTTTTTAATGAAACAGTGCACTCCTGTAACGACACTTCACTGTTTCCGAAAAAGAAGAGAGAAACTGAAACCGTGTTACACATTACGAGCACGCAGGAATAAAAACACCATGGGCGGGAAACGCGCAGCTATTAATTGAACGCGTTACAGTTGCGGTAAGCTTCTCAGCGAGTCGAAAGTGGTAAGACGAAAGTTTCTCGCATCGCGGATTCTCAAGAACGAAGTTAAACGCGGGGTGACGCGAGTGCACTCTGCGTTGGGCGTTCGCTCGCTGCAGCTGTTGCTGTGTCTGTGTGTGTATGCAGGTATGTATGTGTGTGTTTTTTTCACTATTTTTAATCGCCGCCGGTCGCAATTAAAATTTCACCGCGTCGAAAATGTTCCTCTTTCGACCCTCGAGACCGCCTCGTTAAATCGGGATATTAATTAGGCGGCGCAAGCGTCGCTCGAGTACCATCGAAAACTTTCTCGGATCGGGGATCGGCATCGATGTCGTCTGTAATTGTAATTCGTTTAGGGGAGACCTGGTTACTGAGAAATTTCATTCCGTTACAATAATCTTTCGCGACCAATGAGAAATACGAATCAATGTTTTCACCCTTCCAGTTTCGATAGTTTGTAAAATAAGCAAATCCTTCTGCAAAATAAAAATTGTACGCGTTCTTTAGAATAACACAGGCAGTTAATTGAATTGTACTTCTCCTCTTAATAGTTTTATTGGGTTGGCAACTAAGTAATTGCCGATTTCAGTTATAGATGTCTCTCACTCCCATTTTTATGATATCCGTAAATGTTATATTATAAAATTATTATTATTATGATTATGTTATTTTTTATTATCCGTGAATGTTAGCAACTGGACAAATTGAATGCAGCGGTCAAGGAAAAACGACCAGAATTGGTCAATCGTAAAGGTGTCATTTTCCAGCAGGACAATGCTAGGCCGCACACGTCTTTGTCCACTCGGCAAAAATTGATGGATATTGGTTGGGAATTGATGTTACACCCACCACATAGCCCTGATCTCGCGCCATCGGGTTACCACTTATTTCGATCCCTGGACAACTCCCTTCGTGGTAAAACTTTTAATGCCGATGACGCTGTAAAATCTCACTTAACTCAGTTTTTGGCCGAAAAGGATCAGACTTTCTACGAGCGTGGAATTTTCAAGTTGTCGGAGAGATGGCAAAAGGTCATCGAACAAAATGGAAAATACATTACAGATTAAACTTCGTTTCAAGTAAAAAAAATTTTTTATTTCATTAAACAAATCGACAATT